TCGTAGGAAAAGCTCAGCGATTAAAATTTAATATTAATATTAAAGCATCAATTCAGTTGTAGGTCTGAATTTGCATTTCTGATGTGTCGCTGTTATCGCTCACTTTTAAAAAATGCTTTTCGCTTCTGCCTAACATTAAGGCACTGAATTGCCCAATGTGAACGTGGGAATGAAGCATTAAACTTGTCAGGCTTTGGCTGTAACTTCTTGCAGTGCTGCTGGCAGGGTGGGAAGAGTTGGGTGCCTTTGGGGACAGAGGGACCGTGTGCAGGTGTCCGTGTGTGTCACCCATCCACATCTCCTCCTTCGGGGTTAGCAAGGGCTCTGACTGGGGGAAAAATAGGTAAAAGGCACCTGGGTTGTCACACGTGTGGATTTTCTCCTTCCCACACCGCCTTGTTTTGTTTTAATCAGATCTCTCACATATCGATGGGTGATCTCTCACATATCAAGTACTCTATGCATACTGGTATTAAAGGGCTGCTTAAAACCTGCATCATGTGTATGAGTTTTGTACTGTTAATCACCTAAAATCTTCAGTTTTCTCCTCGTTTTGATCTGGTGATTTAGTGTAACGGAAAATTACGCCCTTTTGTGTAGAGGGGAGGTGTTTATTAAAATGATGTAGCATAGATTGAGCTAAATGTCTGCTTAATGGTTATTTATCCTTTCAGTGAAATTAGTATTTCATTAGCTCTAAATAAAGCTACAAAGCTGCAGTTATAGAGCTGCTAAAACTTAAGATCTTCCATCAATTTTGTGATACTTTTGGAGATTCTGTCACGTCTTTGTTGGAGTTCTTGGGGTTGAAGCAGACTCACACTTTGTTATTTTACATCCATTGTATTTTTTAGAATTACTCTGGCTTGGTTGAGTCTGATGAGGAATAATTGGCAGGGGAAGGGAAGGAGCAGAAAAGGGTGATGGGGTTTTTTTAAGGTGTGGGTTGTCTACAGAATTACACAGAGCAGCCTAAGATGTAATGCAATGTGAAGGCTTGTGGCAGTGTAAAGTTTCCTGTTAAAGGCAGTCATGAGCTCCAAAATTTGACCTCATGAGACTGCCTGTCCTGTATTTTCACATCCCCTAGTCCAATTTGAGTTGGGATTTTTAAATTTGCTCTGAGTTTGTCTCTTCACCTGCCATTGTCAGGGATTTGCTCACATGTAGATGAAAGTTATTTGTGAACGTGTCAGTCATCTCCTTTCATATTCAGGGGTGAACAGTTCTGGGAGCACTATTGTTGTAACAACTCTCCTGAAATTTATTCTGTTGATGTCAGTGTTGTATTTATGTGTAGCTTAGCTCAGTTTATAACCTTGTGTATCACAGCACGTAGCCATGAAAATGGGTTAGTGCTGGTAGAATTCTTCACAGCAAGATCTGACTACTCCCTGCTCTTTAAAGGCTTTTGCAGCTAATGTTTTACTTCTCATAATTTCAGATTTGTTTTTTGGGCTGCTCGTCATCACTGAAGACACATTGTTGGCATGCCTGAATACCTTTTAAAATAATTTCTAGCAATTTGTGTTCTGTGTGGGCAATACATTATTCTGTCTGTGTAAAGCACAGGCTGAATTAATACAGGGTACATCTGTCCTATAGTGAGTCTTCAGGCTGTCCTTATCTGAATTAAGCTGTGTGTTCAAAATAACGTTAAAAATTGGTGTGTAAGCATGGTTTCCAAAGTTAATGTTTGGTTTTCTCTATTTTATGTGGTTTGCATGTCTCTGATACAATATAATGGGCAGATGGTAGGGAAAGATGTCTGTAGAGTCAGCTGTAATTAGTGATAAATGTGTCTTTATGAATATATACATACTTTGTATCTATGAAAAATGAATATAGACATACTTTGTATCTATGAAAAAACAAAAAGAGTGGTTTAATTTGGGAATCCCTTAAAATTTTTGGGTTTAATTTGGCTTCCCAGCACGGTCTTGTGAACTGGATGATTAAACATTAGCAGAATGTAGAGGTGGGGGAAATAACATACCATGTATTCCTGCAGGAGGCAGGGAAATACTTTCTGAGTCTTGAATTATTGAATTGACAGGAGGACACATTTTCTGTCAACTTCTTTGTGAAATAGTCCTGGACATAAAGCTGTAGCTACTGCAAGACAAAAAAATTAATCCCACAGTTCATTAATAACGGTGAAGTTTTTGGTGCTTATTTTCCCTCTGTACTTGGCATTTGAAGCAGGGATGTACAGATATATTGATCCCATTAAGAATGTGTTTATTTCAGGTGTAAATACCTCAGTGCAATCACTAAAGAAGTTGTGTTGGAGAAGGTTTGTAGCTATAAAGTAATGTGAGAATATTTCCTTGCCTGCTTGTGGCTTGGGTAGCTCTCAATAGCATCTCGTTTGGTGGCCTTAATGAAGTATCTGTGATAAAGAATTGTTCTTATGTGGTGTGATTAAAATATCAGCTCTAAGGTCGTGTTCTGGTTTGTTTAATACACTTCAAAGCTAATGATTATGAGAACTGCAGACCGTGGCTAATGGGATAAAAGCTGTGTGAGTTATCCATGTCCTTTTTGGGCTTCTGGAGTCATTGCAGAGCAGCTGTAGCTGTGAGATGGGAAAAGAGGAAATTTCTTATTCATACAAGCTAATGAGTTAAATGTGTGTATGGCTTTTGGGTTAATGAGATTTGACCTCATGTGTTGTAAAGAATTTTTGGTTTAGCTCAGTGTTTAAATATTATGATAATTCTTGAGAAATATTTTTGCAGACCTTGAGACTCTTCTTTCAGGAAGAAGCAATGATGACAAGAAGAAGAAGAAAGTTAAAGCAATATATTGTATTTAGTTTTAACCAACTAGCTTCCAGTTTATAGGCTGGCTGTCTTTGCACTAATTTATGAGCTTTGTGTACTTCAGCCCTGAAGTCTTTCATCATTACAACTAAAGAAATAATTGCTTAATAATGCTCTCTGTTCCTGCTCTGCCGTGTGAGTCTGACAGTTCCAACCCCGTGATGCCTTGATGGCCTAATGGACAATCTGCTGCTTCTAGAAAGATCTATCCTGTCCCAACCAAAGCTGAGGCTGTGCCATATGTGCAGGGGGGTGTCAGATGTACAAACCAAGCTCTTGTTGGCCAGCACTGATCTCCCCACACTGTGGAAGAGCTGCAGTTCTGTGCTTTTCCTTCCCTCTGATTCTGTCATACATGTTTCTGTGTGTGCAGTGAGTTTGGGGGGGATTTCCTCATCTCAGAAAGGAGAACTCTCATTTCCTTTTTAACCTTTCTGCACAACACAGTGCAGGCTTTGTTTTGCTTTTGCAGTTCTGAGAATTCTGCTCAGACAATTCCCTTTGCAGCAAGACAAAACGCCCCAGTGCCGCTCACCAGTTGCATTCTGTGTCTGGTACTGTTTGAGCAGCAGCTCCATTCCAGCCTGGATTCTCCTGTGGAACTTTGGGGCGAGCTGGAGGACTTGGACATCTCCTTTTCACTGGGATTTTTTTAAGTGCCCTTGGCATGTCAAGGTAGTGTTAAGAGTGTGGGTACTTTGC